GCGGTGTAAGCGAGGAGCCGCGCAGCCATGTTGACAATCCATGCCACCAGCCAGCCACCAAACGAAAAGGACTTTACTTCGACTCTCATTTGGGGCTCGCCGTGCCCGGCCAGTCTCGCTCTAAAAGTGCCATCTCATCCTTTGACCACGGGAACCGTGTTCCTGTATACATGCACCGGTTGAATAAACCCACCGGTACTTGTGGAGCTTGCTTGGGGCTCAATCACATTCTTTGGCATCCTTTTTTATCCACGTCTGCTTTTTGTTAGTGGCAAAGGTCGCGCCTCCACCGGTGTGGAGTTGCAGAGAGTTCAAATACTGTAATTGAAGTTTCAAATCTGTTGACCCACGCCGTTTTTGCTTTCAAGATGGCCCACTATGGACACGCTGCTGTAAACGCGTGGTTATCCCGATGGGAAAAGGCCAAAGAAAAAGGTCAACAGCGTTACCGTACAGCTTCGAGCTTCAATTATGAAGAGACTTGGACCTCCATTCGCGTACCGGTTTCGTTGGTGTTTGGAAATCGATGTACCGGTACCGGTACGAGATCCAAGCACCTAACAAAGCCCCACCTGCTGCTGCCTTGCTTGGTTGTACTACCGTACGTGTACTGTACTCCGGTGGCAGACTCGACTTGACGCGACTCTCTCGCGCTAAAAGCGACTCATAGAGCTCATGCGGAGTGCATCTTGTCTTTCCAAATAAGCCCTCCAGGACAAAGAGAACCCCACCGTAATCTTTTCCCCATTGGTTTGCTCTTGGCTTAATGAGCTGGTCTTTGCTGAGTTTACAAGTTTACTGAGTAAACTTTACTCCCGTTTATTGTTCCGGTGCATCTTGTTCTGTCTTGAAAGCATCTTGTTTTTGATTAACACCAAGACACCAAGAGAGTCCTTAATCAAAGCATCTACGCACCTTTGTTTAACATGTAGTCCCATTTGTTTTTGCTGTGGTCACGTCTCCATAGAAAGGACCCGTCATGGTGACTATTAGATTTAATTAAGTTCATCGTTCCTTTTCGAAGTGTGACACATAGATGACAAAGAGAGTGTCTGTTCTACAATTTCTTTTACATGATTCTCGTACTTTTGTAAATTTATTGAGTAGTTTAATCGGATGTCGGAATAGTGACTGGTCTTAAGTAATTGTGTGACTGTTGAAAGTCGACCAGTCAATGCTGCATGAAGCCATCCGAAATCGGATCAAAGCCCCTAACCATTGTGAGAGATGCTGCTGCATGCCGCGTTGCCCCCGGTTAATTGTGCCCAGGTGCAACGATATTTTACTTTGCTTCCTGCTTTGGGATAACAGGCAGCGCGCTCCATTATCCCCACGACAATGGCCAACAATAACATGTTATCGATGATGAAGTTGCCGTTTCTATTGCTATTGAGCGCCGCTGTAGCCTTGGGTGGCTCTAATGATGGTGACACTGCTGCCTCTGATGGCGGCGTTACAAGATGTAGTCAAGCGTCGGAAGCCTTTCACAGCTCGCTGATTCTCGTTCATGTCTTTTCGCTCCAAGATGACCGTGTTGTGGATGACTGGCGGCCATCCGAGACTGAGCAACAAATGCTCGGGGATCTCTTTATCGAAACATACAATCGGGAACAAAACGGGGATGGATTCTGCGATCCACACTACCGAAGGTTAAGCAGCGTCTCCGTCGATGCCATGCGATACTCCAACGACGAGATGGCCCGATTTCGAACGATGCAAGACGGCAATGGGACAACAACAGTGACTGTTCCACTACGCTATGAACTGGAGGGATACTGTGAAGGTTGCCGCGATGAGCTGTTTGGCAGCTCATCAGAAGGGCCCTCTCTACAAGGCGAGCCTCCTCGAGGACTTCGAGTGAGAAAGTCCATTATGGCAGCTTCTACGACCAGCACCAGCAGTCAGTATACTAGTACACCCAGGCTGCGAGCTGATGCTCCCTCAGCAGCCATGCCAAATGACTGCGAATGCCAGTCCACCCCTGAGACTCTGCGGAGAGCTCCAACCCAAGACGAGTTTCTCCAATCCCTGAACCAAGCGATTCTGGAACAACAACAACAAGACAATCTAGTAACCATTCAATCGGCAACCAAAGAGCAGTCTCAGTCTCTGCTTCTGCCTGCCAGAAGAGCTCAAGCAGCAACCATTGACATTCAAGAGTACGCTTGCGATGCTCCCCAGAACAGCTTTGACGCTACCGTCTTTCTCCATGTCCCGGCTTCTACCGTGCTGGACACCACCAGCATGACGACCCTGGGGGACAACTTTCGCCTGGCTTACAACAATCTGACATTTACACTCTGCGATGTCTCCCACTTTCGCAAGATTCTTCGTGTCACGGTAGAAGACGATCAATCCACAGTATTGGACTCTGCTACCGATATTTCCCGCTCGTCCAATACACGCATCCTGACGCTGCACGTGCAAACGGATTGCCTCGATTGCAATGCCACCACGCCCTTGTTTCATGTGTTGCCTCGTCCGGCAACGTTGGCACCCGGGTTTGCACCCATTCGTCCATTTGGCGGCGGTGTGGCCAACGTCAATACAAGGACGGAATCGGCTTGTTTGTGCCCCAAGAATGATACCAATGTCTTTCGGGCACCCACATCCGACGAGTTCTTGGCGTACTTTGATGGGAATAGTATGGCGACGACAGTGTTGGAGGTGGAGGAAGAGCAACGGTTGGAATGCAGTGCTAGTAGTGCGGGTGTGGTCAATACTAATTTCACGTCCTACGCACACGTCGCCATGGATGTCGCTTGGGAGAAGAGCATCATTAATGAGACGGAAAAACTCTTATTGGAAGAGATCTTTCGTGATACGTACAATGAGCTGGCATACTCGCAGTGTGATGAGCACCATCGGACCGTGGTCAATGTGACGCTGGTTCTGGATCAGCCATCCTCCAACGAAGCAACGGCGACTTTGGAACAGGAGATGGATACGGACATTGTGCATCGGTCGGTCGTGTTCTCAGTGGCAGCACAGTGTCGTCGTGATTGCCCTTTAGAGTTGTATCTGTTTGATGATGAACACACAGATGCCACTCAGCTTAGTACCAACACGGGTCGAGTGGGGGGACGCAACTTGCAGCAAAATGTTTGCACCTGTGCTCCAGGTGTTCAGCCAGGACAGTCCCTGTTGGAGCAAGACTTTTTGGTGGCATTCAACCGACGAGTGGCGGCGTTGAAGCTGGCCACGGTGGAGTCGGCGCTAGACCTCGTCGAGGCAGAACAAGTGGACTGTGGCAACAGCACAAACGATACCACGCCAGAACTGAGGGTCTTTACGTCCTCCGTGCTGGCCGATGTCAGCCTCGATCTAACAAACTTGACAGACGCGGAACGGTTGATCCTCGAACAAACCTTTTTGCAAACGTACAATGATTTGACGTTTCTGGGGTGCGATGACAAGTTCCGGAGCATCGTGAGTGTGAGTCTGCAATCCGATCCGGCCGCCAACAAGGATTCATTCCGTGATCGAGGAAACAGGCTGAAAGTCCCAGGCTTCAGGCGGTTGTTGTCCAGCAGTGACAATAATAGCACAGCCATCAACGATGATAACAACAGCACGTCAACTGGCCCTGACAGCCAAAATGCGACCGACTTGGCCCCGGTGGCCGCCGTATTCTCTGTGACTGGCACTTGCAGAAACTGCCCAGTTTCCGAAACTGGAACATTCAATTTGGTAAGATCGTCATGTGCATGTTGGTTGTGTTGCACAACAAACAAGTTGTAGGTTTCTCACCCGACTTCTTCTTGGTTTGTTTGTTTCTCGCTCAGTTCGATGACGCCTTTGGTGAAGGCTCGTTCTCTCGCCGACGACAGTTGGCTAGCAGCAGCAGCGTCGTTGGTCTTTCTGGACGCGCACTCCAAGAGCAAGTGCGGCCCGGTGTTTGTTTTTGCCCCGTCGGAGTACCGCCAGGCGAGATGCAGGGACCCACGGCAGGGATTTTCCAGTCATTGCTGAACCAACAGGTGGCTGACTTACAGGAGGAAGAGTCCCTTCCTCCGCCAGTCTCAGGATACAGTTCCAAGAACTCGACGTTGACGAACATTCAAGAACTGACCGTAGAGAATGTGATTGAGGTTCATCCAGTGGACTGCGGTGGCAATGTAACAAACTTTCAATCAGCGGTTTACACTGGACTCCGAGTTAACGAAGGGTCCTTGGACGGGATCGAAAAGGGAGATATTGAACAAGGGTTTAGAGCTCTCTACAATGGTAAGTTTGACTGCTGTTTAAGTGAAACGAGTCTCCTTGCCGTCACGGAGCTTTCGTCTCACCTTGTCGTTCCACCATCAGATCTCTCCTTCACCGGTTGTGATGGTTTCTTTCGCACAGTCACAAAAGTTGAGTTGGTTGTTGGTGAAATCGTGGGTTACCAGGGTGACTTGCGTCGACTCCAAGTTGATGGTAACGGCACTCTGCCGTCGAACACAACGAATGCGACAGCAGTGACGGAGCCAACAGTTTTCCTTGTCACTGGACAGTGCAGAAATTGTCCTGTCACGCGCTCGGGATCGTTTCAGCTGTTCGACGACGGCTTTCGTCGGGCTCTCTCCGAGTCACTTGAAGTGAGCCCTGATGGAGGCATTGTGAGCCGTAGTCTGTTTGATTTACCCGAAGACTCCTGTTACTGCCCAGCTGGTGCAGAGCCAGGAAGAGGCCCGTCTTCGGATGAGTTCGTACCGGATTTCAACGATGTGGTTGTACAATCAGTCAAGGGAGGACAAGAAGACATCGTGTTCGCTAGAGCGGATCAGAAAGTTGCAGAAGTGGACATTGCGTGTGCTTTCGCTGATCTAAAGGTGGTCGAGGCCACATACACAGTGACGCTTCCGCGCAGTGTGTTGGCGTTGCCTCCCGACGAGCTGCGGTCTTTCATTGACAGGGCCTATCCCCAAGCTTACAATGAGTTCCGAAACGAAGAGTGTTCTCCGGTGCTCCTTCAGGCCGACCTCCCAACCATGTTCAGACGGCTGCAAGTGCAGCCAAGATTCGAACCAATTCGACGAACCCTCCGAGTGGTTTCTCTTCAACCCAGCGATAGAGGCACTGATGCTCTCTACGACGCAAGCGACCCACAGCAAGAAATCAGGGTAGCCCAGAGGGTTGAAGAGATCTTTATCTTGTCTCAGGCAAGGGGGGATAATTTTGAGATTGTTTCCGAAGCTCCCACCACGACATCGATTATGCCCTCGACTTCAGTCCCTACTTTGCCTCCCATCCCGACCCCTTTTCCAACCCCAGATCCGACGCCCAGTCCAACGAAAAACCCAACTCCAGACCCCACACTGCCACCGACACCCCCACCAACGAATCCTCCTACAGCACCACCAACGAACCCGCCCACCAATCCTCCTACTGCACCACCAACGAACCCTCCAACTGAGCCACCCACTCCACCGCCTACCGTGACACCTGGCTCACCCTCAAGTAGCCCAACCACAGGTTCTCCAACAGGATCTCCCTCCACGAGCCCGTCCACTAGTCCAAGCGAAGCACCAACCGACCCGCCAACTCCGCATCCCACTTGGGAAAGGGCGACTTTGGTTCGGTTTGTATTGATCGACTGTAGCACTGGTGCGGCAGTTTCAGGATATGAAACTCTCTCCGATGGGGCGGTATTGGATCGCAGCACGCTCCCTGCAGAGATCACCATCGAAGCCATTACGGACCCCCCAGAGATTGGAGAAGTCCAATTCTATATGGACGGGGCGACAACGCCGACCATCACAGAGACCAAGTTTCCTTACTCGTTATCCAGCAACAGGGGAGATGGCTCCTTTCGTCCATCTACGTTGTTGGAACCATCACCGAACACCAGGACTCTTAGAGCCGATCCTATTTGGTATTGGGGTCTGGTGGGGACGTCTCTGGAGATTTCCTTTACCATAGTCTAAATGACAGCAGAGCCATCGAATCGACGACATTTGGGAGGGAAGAGCACTTCTTGCGGGGTGTTCCACTTTCTATATAGAGTTTGTAATCATACTAATCATTTATTGTATACATGCCGGTGTAGTCGACGAGCCTGATCGGCAGGATGGAAGACGCCAGCGATTTGCTGACCGATCACTCTATTAGGTTCTACCAGTGCAAGTCCCTCGTCCTGTTTCGAAAACACTCTTCTCTCCGCACAGCCGGCAAAGTCTACAGGTCTCTGGTCAGCGACAACGTTGCAGGATTCCAAAACAAGATTGCGTAGAAGGAATGCATCAAAGAAGCGACAACGCCTTCGCTCATGTCCTCGCGATTTTCAAGCTGGTCTTTGGTGACGCCCCATCGATGGACAAGGATTCTGGACAGTTGCAAGGATGCTCGATCTCTCTCCTTCACCCACATCGGTGTCGTCTTCTGTGGCCTGTTGGAATGGCCTACCGTTCGAACCAACTCATTGTTTTGGATCTTTGAAGGTTCTGCCTTTCCCTGCCGATGCAAGTTCTAAGAACAAAAAGGGAGAGGTGGGGTGTTCGTAAGGGCGGACAACCAACACTCACGATGCATCCATTAGAGGAGGTCCCAGTGTGTCGCCTCTGAACTTTCCTCCTTCCGCCGGCCCAACCTTGGCTTGTAGAGCAGCTTGATCAATACATTGCTCCGGCTGTCAGGTTTTCTACTGGCATTGCCTTCCGCCTTGCGTGGCATCGCATCAGTTGTGAAATGACATTGCTCCCACGCGAAGAACACAATGAGACCACAAGCGAAGACTACAGAGCAGAGACGAAGCGCACGGGAGAGAAGAGAATGAAGTGATGTTGAGAGAAAAGAGTAGATGAAGGAAAACAAGGGTCGCGGAAGAAAACGAGAGGACTGAAAAAGAGGGAGTAATCATGTGCCGTATTTTATTTGAATCGAGAAAGAGCTTCAGACTAGCGCCTGACAAGCCACCTTTCTACTGTAGATAATAATTGAGCTTAATAATATATGTCAGATGCACAGCAAACTATTACCAGGTATAGTTTGTTGGCGCTCGTGTCCAGCCCTTCGATGCAAGCTGGGGCCAGATGCAACGCCCCTGACACTGCTTGCTGTCACATCTGCACATCCTTGAAGGTTTACCCCGTGTTGCCATCGATGGAAATGGGGATTTGAGGGGCATCAATGTCCATTGGTCGGGATGAACCTGGCATCGTCATGTGCCTCTCTTCCAGGAGAGCACACTTTGAATGGGCACCCCATCGGTTGTAGAGCTTGAAAGCTTGTCCAAAGTGGTAATCGGCGTCACTTGGAGAACTCTGACGGAGATAGAATTCGGCAAGCAGTTCGTTTGCAAGCGCTTGATCATTGGCTAGGCCCCGACGACCTGCCGAGACGATAGCGTCCTTGAAACCGAATTCAGCCGCATCGTTCTTGCCTTCTACATCAGCTGCTGCTGCATTGATAAGTAGAACATAATGCTGGATATTGGGATTCTTGCCAAGGATTGAGATTCAAAGAGTGAGCCCAGATGGTTTTGGTTCCGCGATTCCTGCACCATGTTCGCGCAACTTACTCCCTTCTTCGCCCATAAATTCATCTGATCGGCAAAGAACATGGCCATCTTCTTGTGGACTCTCTTTTTTGTTTCGCGATAGACCAGCAGAAGAGACAGAGCGCATTGGAAATACAGCGGGTACATGCAAAACCAACCTCCGTTAATCTTGGCGTAGAACCCTTTGTGAGCTCCGGTCTTCTCCACCATTTCCAGAACTTTCTTGTAATTTCCAGCCCAAAAGAACGCTGCAATCTGGTAACGGTCGTAGTAGAATCTCGCCTGCTCAGAATCTGTCTCATCAGCCCAATTCATGTAGTCATCATGATCCTGGTGGAGGAAGAAGGAGGAGGGTGAGATCCGATGGTGCGACATTTCTGGCAAACGGTTCATGCTCGTACCAGGGCATCCCCATGCAGGACGGCGGGATCATCTGACCTTCCAGCGATGTTCAAGACAAGCTGCCACAAGCAGGTAAGATATCTGTCTATTTTGTCGATCTTCAAGTCTTTCATTTGCTGGCTGTAGGCTCGACAATCGTCTGCCAGTGGTTGGAGGTTCTGTGACAGGTAGAAGCCAAGGTCGAGGTATGAGAGTAGATTGAAGACAGCATCCCAGGACTGCCCACGCTTCATTCCAACTTGGTATCCATCGAGAGCAATCTTTCGGCAAGCACTGGCATCGACTGAGTGTATCAACACAAAGTAGGACGTGTAGAAGGTCACTCTGGGATAAGACTCGCGGCTGATATGTTTCGTTTTGAACAGTTCCAGCGCGAAATCGCCGTACAGACGGGCCGTTTCAAATTCAGTGAACACCGCAGCAACTATCATACCAATCCCCGCCAATGCGGGTGGACTGTAGTCTGCAATCCCCTGAGAGACCAAGGGAAGAAAAACGGCTCGTTCAGAATCCTTTTCGGCACAGCTCTCGCACCAACACCAACTAGCTACTTACGTAGTTCAAAGTGTACTTGATTGCCTTCAAAAGCGCAAGTTCGTGCAAGTTCGAATGACACTGATTTCCAACCTGTTGCACGGTGGACAAGAGCTGCATTGACCATATTCGGCGCTCGTCAGTCATCAACGGAAGCCTTTTGACCTTGACTAGCTGTTTCTTGGCCGTCATGCCTGCCCAGACGACGCTGCCAAGTATGTGCTGCGATCTTAAGAACTTTGGGAAGTTGCAGTCCAGTTTGGCTAGCACACCGAGGCTCTCGTCAAGGCAGTCTTGCGCACGTCCTTGCGCAGCAAGCGAATAGAGAAGGGATGTGTAGACACCCTTCTTCGACATGAGAGGAATTTCATTCCTTTCTATTACTTGTCTGCAGTAAACGTTCATCTCATCGAATTGCCCAACACAGCAAAGGGCTTGCACGGCCAACGTGAAGAGCTTCAGTGACAATGATGGATGGGATTCCCAATGGCCATCTGGACGCAGTCCGATACCACGGCCCAGATGCGATGCCGCGGTTGCTGCTGCCGCAGCCTTCATTGCTCTGGCTCCCGCCTTCAATTGCAGTTCGCCTAGCTTGACATTGCGTTCTTTGTTTGTCTCGCCTTGACCCTTTTCAGCATCGAACAATTGGACAACCAGGAATATGTTTCTTTCCAGGTCACCTTCGCTCAATTCCGCCAGCAAGAGCTCACCAAGCTGGAACCTTAACAGCGCCAGCTCAGCGGGATCTGCCATTCCGAGAGCAGCCTCCTGAAGCTTGTCATGCTCCCATTTGATCAGTTCCTGCTGGATGCCGGTAGCGAAAATAAGTCCCTCGGCTTCGCAGACCTGCAGGAACTCATCTAGAGAGCAGATATCCATTTTCTTGCTGAAGTGCATCACAACCATGTGCAACATGGGTCGTTGGAACGATGCCCCCAGGCTTGCCACCAACGGCATCAACCGACAGACCCCCTCTGGCAATTGCTTCATTCTTCGTGTCATTAAATCCGCAACGTTGTCTGTCACTGATAACCTCCCTTGAATCTCAGTGACATCCCAAGTCCATTCCAGCTTGGCAATACTATAGCTTAGTAGCTGCTCCGACTGCAGCATTTGCAAAAAGAAAATGACATAGAACGGCACCCCCTTGGTTTTGTTCGTGACAACCTCTGCCAGAGGCTGACAAATCTTGCTGTCTGACAACATCAAATCACAGAGCAGCTCATTGACCTGATCTACATTGAGATTTCCCAGCGGAATCTCTGAAATCTCAAGGTTGATACTGCCACGGTCACTTTTCTCTTCGTCCTCTACAAGTATTGATTGGAGCTCTCGTAGGGTTGTCTTGAGAACGTGGGTCTCTTCCACCTCGTTGGAGCGATAGCTCCCAACAATCATCAAATTGGACGAAAGCTCTCTGTCAACCAGCAACTGCTGCATGAGTTCGAGGGATGAGGTATCAGACCATTGAAGGTCGTCCAAAACTAGAATGATTGGTCCCAAGGAGCAAATGACACGGATGAATTGTTGAAAGGCATAGTGTAACACCTGTTTGGCTTCTGTGTAGTGATTGCCACTGGATGATTGTGTGGGAGGTGTTTGCTCTTGTTCATCCTCGTCTTGCTGTTTCTGCTCGTCCTGCTGCTCCTGATCGTCCTCCTCGTTTGCACCAGCTGAAGCAACTCCTGCCAAATAGTCTCCTCCGGTAACTGTGACCAAGTTTGGTATGATGTTGGCCAGCACGTCGATTTGGTTTGAATCGAGTATTGCGTTGAGTTTGTCTCGTAGAATCTCAGAAGGAGTAGCACCATCCTGGTTGTCCCGGTTTTTGGTTTCAGCAGTCGAAGAAGTGAACATGATTTCATGTATGAGCTCTACACAAGCCATGGATATGGCGGAATAAGGTTCATTTTGCTGCTGCAAGTCGAACTTTCCTGTCATGTAAAACCCTCCTGCATTTGGCACGGATGATCGTAACGACTCTGCCAACACAGACTTTCCAGCTCCTGCCTCTCCCGAGATCAAGACGAACTGCTTGCTGCCAGCCTCCTCGTCTTTGACTTTGGTGAGTAACTCCTGTAGCAGCTTGGTTTCACTGTCCCTGCCATACAATTTGTTGGATATCTTGGAGAAATGCAATCGACTCAGACCTTGTAAGCGAGCACTTGCAGTAGCTTTCAAAGACGTCCGAGAGGTGATGATGCTTTCTTTTGTGGATGAAAACTCACCCGACTTTTCCGTCGTCGAAAAAGCCGAGGAACTGTAGACTTCCGCATCGGTTACTGCCGATACATCATCATCAGCGCCGACTTCAACCTCCATCGCCCTCTCCTGTTGATCGTCGAGCATTGTGCTCTTCCAGTTTGCCGCTCATCGATAAATCAAGGATACAGTAACTCTTGCAAATTACAGTAATACGGCGGCACCGATGGTCCAACTCTCAAAAATTGGCTCCTTCGCTATCGCCGAGCTAGTACCCAACTTCGAGCTGCGTTTGGTCTCTTTGCTCAATGGCAAGCCAACAACTTGGTTCCTTGGGCCGCCATCCGAGCTCTCAATGCCAATCGCGGCATGGCTCTCGATAAATTTCCCGGTGTACGCCCCATAGGTATTGGTAACATTGAACGACGCTACATTGCCAAATGTGTCCTCGCTGTTGCTGGCCCCGCTGCGGCTGCAGCAGCTGGCACTTCTCAGCTTTCCGTTGGTTTGAAAGCAGGCATTGAAGGTGCCGTCCACACGGCAAATGTTGCACGAAGGACAGACCAAATAGCTAGATAAGCAGCACACTGCACTCTCACTTATCTTATTACCATGTTATTACACTGATTGATAGGTCCACTGACAGGTTATGTCGCCCTTACTACGCTTTCCTTAATCAACTACGCATATTCCTACTGCTACAGTTGCTCTCTTTGTATTCCACCCCTCCAGGGAGCAACAGAGCCACTTTGCAGGAAGATCTCCGTATCTTCCACCCAACACAACGCCCAGCCGACGCAGCCGATCCCGCATCTGTTCTGGGCTTTCCGTCTTTTCCGATCCATTACCACTACAACTGCTACGTTTCTTTCCTGTCTCTGTTTGTAATCCCTTGTCCCCTTGGATTCTACAGGACAACCCCTTTTTTCGACGACCGACGCTCGTCTGAGTCTTCCATCATGAAGCCTTGTTTCTTCATTCATCACTTCTTCTTTGAGGCTCCCTGGCATCCTGACAAGCGTCGTTTCACTGTTGACCATGCTACTCATCTCAACCGCGAAGCCTATGGCTGCCATTGCTTCTGCCTGGATGAAGACTATGAAGAAAACGACCGAGTCTTCACCGATTCTACCACGCAGGACTGCCTCAAGAACGATGATGACCTTCTACCAGCTCTCCGCCGCGCAATTATTCGCGACCTTTCACCCACACATTCCACCCATCCTCGCTTCCAGGCTGAGTCTAAGATTTTTGAACCTCTTATCTTCAGTGCCCGACTCTCAGTTGAGTCTCCCAACACTGATCTGGTGCCTTTGACCGCTGCTTCATTTGCCGCTGCTCTCAGTGACGTTACTGACTCCTTTCGTCATGGCTTCAACCATTCTCCTGTCACCATTTACATCCACACTGAGCACCTACGCCGTCGCTGTCTTGACAAGCCTGTCTCCTGCTTGACCGACTTTTACACTGGCAAACCCACTGTTGTCCTTCCTTCCTATACTCACATGTCTGACCGCAAAATTAATTATTTCAACCAAAACCCATCCCCTCCCATTATTCCTTCCCTGTCATCACCCACTCTGATTTCCTCATTTTCTCCACGCCAACCTGAGCCACCCTTGGATCCTGCAGCCTCACCACCCCCGGCTACTCCTCGACAATCCGAACCGTCCTCTGATCCCGCTGCCTTGGCTCCTTTGGTCTCCCCTATTTTATTTTCGGCTCCACCGATTCTTTTCAAGACAGACATTTCTCCCGTTTCCAATCACGGGAGGGTTTCTCCTTCCTCCCTATTTTCTCCTGCCGACAATATTCGCTCTTGTTCTGC